CGGCGCGGGCTCACGGGCGCGGGGGGGCGGCTGCCAGTGACCAATCGGCGCGCGGGGCGGCCTTGCAGTCAGTGTCATGGTGCCCGACAGGGACCAGCTGTCACTAGCCCAGCAACGCTGCCTTAGCTGCTACGTCACGGCCCCGTGTGGCCTCGCCCCGGCCCCACTGGGCCCCGGCAGCAAAGTGGGGGGAAGGGGCAGTGTGTGCCAGAGCCAGCGCGCGCAGAGCTCCGCAGGTGCAGGGCGGGCTCCGCTCGCAGCCTCGCCTGGGAGCGTCTCACGCACCAGGGGAGGAACGCAGGTATCCAAGGGGAAAGACTAGCGAAGACCTTTTCTCTGGGGCGCATACACAAGCGGTGACATCCTGCCCTCATGTGCCACAAAGCTGTAGACCCCCCTGCACATCCCTTGTTGTCACTGTTTCTTCAGAAACAGCGTGACAGGTCCGAATGGCCCTCACGGCAAAATCCAGCCCTGACTAAGGCTGCTGCTAGTGTTACATACATTAAACAATTAGCTGGTCAGTGGGTGTGCAAATGCTGTGAGGTGGATTTACTCTAGAGTAAATCCACGTTGGGCAGACATCTACACATGCAAAGATTTGGGAGCAGAATCACTGCTCTGGGCAGTAGTCTGCCCCCACCCCCTCCAGCCCTGCACCAGTCCCCTGCAACAGCTCTAGGCTCCCGCTAGCTGCTAGCCCAGGGGCTGGCAGGGAGCACAGGGCCAGGAGATGGGTACCTCCTGACAGGGACTGGGAGCCCACTCCCTGCCCCTGGGAGCTGCCTGTTGCCTGGGGCTCCTGTGCCGGAGCCAAGGAGGCTGGGACCTGCCGCTCCCTTACAGTTCTTTCCAAGCCCTGTGCCCTTCATCTCCCACTTGGGGCACGGCGCTGGGAAGAACCTGCAGGGCTGGGACCTGCCCCTGACTGGAACAGTTCCCAGCCAGCCCCAGGCTGCACAGGGAAGTCTGCAGGTGGAGCCCAGAGCTGACAGGGGACTGCCTGAAAACAGGACAGCCGAGTGAGGGCTGGGAGTTCCCTGTTGCCAGGGTAGGGGGACATTGTCCCTGCCTCAGCTCTGGCAGTGGAGCCCACCATAGCAGCAGGCAGGTCTTAGGGGCAGGGAGCAATCTCCCACCTCCTGCTGCCCAGCTGACCAGGAGCAAATTACCTAGGTCTACACACGCCATACTGTGCAGTAATTACACGACAGTTAATTTGCTACTTGCATTTACAGGTAGCAAATTAACTGCGAAGTAGAGGAAATTACTGCGCAGTAAGGGGCAGCACATGTAGATGGTGATGCTTACTATGCAATTATTAGCTCTATTGCACAGTAAAATGTCTCTTGTAGATGCACCCAGTCATCGCGTACATCAGGGGCTGTCAACAGGAGTACGCATGCCCCTGGGGGTACTTAGGAAGGTCCCTGGGGAGTACATGGCAGCAGCTCGAAGAAGGTACCTGGGAAGTATGCCATTGCTGTCAGAGAAGGGGCAGTATTTGGGAAGTGCACCATCGCACGCTGCCCAAGTACCCACCACTTCGCATCTGGCCCGCTGTCAGAATCCCCCCCAGCTCATCCAGGGAGTACAGTGTCCAGGAGGGGTACCCACCAGAAGAGGTACACTCCTTAAAAAAGGGTGAAACCCCCTAACACATATAATGCAAAATGAGTCAGTTGCGCAACAATGTAGACAAGCCACAGTGCAAAGTCATTACCATCCAATAAAAATGACTGTCTAGCTTTAAAAAGAGCCAACCAGCTCTAAAGTGCTTGAAAATGTATAACAACTCCATAGCTGGTTTCTCACCAGCTTTTATTTGAATGTATAGCAGAACCCTAAGGAAATGGGAAGGCTAGGGTTTCTCTTAAGAGCATAATTTAAAATGATGCCTTAGCCTCTGCATTCAAACTAGCAATGAGAAAATGGGGCTACTACTGATGAAAACCTGTGCTACAGAGTTTCATAGTTGGTAGGATCGAAAGGGACCTGAACAGATCATCAAGTCCGACCCCCTGCCATGGGCAGGAAAGAATGCTGGGGTCAAATGACCCCAGCTAGGTGCTTATCTAGCCTCCTTTTGAAGACCCCCTGGTAGGAGCAAGCACCACTTTCCTTGGAAGTTGGTTCCAGATCCTAGCTGCCCTGACTGTGAAGTAGTGCTTCCTGATGTCCAGCCTGAATCTACTCTCCATCAATTTATGGCCGTTATTCCTTGTTACTCCTGGTAGTGCTTAGGAGAACAGGGACTCTCCCATTGCCTGCTGGTCCCCCTTGGCAAGTTTATAGATGGCCACCAGATCCCCTCTCAGCCTTCTCTTGTGGAGGCTGAACAGGTTCAGGTCCCATAGCCTCTCCTCATAGGGCCTGCCCTGCTGCCCCCTGATCATGAGTGGCCCTCCTCTGGACCCTCTCCATGCTGTCCACATCCCTCCTGAAGTGCAGCGCCCAGAACTGGACGCAGTACTCCAACTGCAGCCTGACCAGTGTTGCATAGAGGGGGGGATCACTTCCTTGGACCTGCTTAAGATGCATCTATGGATGCATGACAAGGTGTGGTTAGCCTTACTGACCGCATCCTCACACTGGTGGCCCATGTTCATCTTGGAATCAATAGCGACTCCAAGATCCTTTTCTGCCTCTGTGCTGACGAGAAGGGAGTTCCCCAGCCTGTAGGTATGCTGCTGGTTCTTCCTTGTCAGTATTGAAACCCATCCTATTCTCATCCGCCCACCCCTGGAACTTGTCCAGATCTAGTTGTAGCCTGTCCCTCTTCTAGTGTGCCCACTTCTCCCCACATCTTAGTGTCATCCACAAATTTGAACAAGGTGCTTTTCACCCCCTCGTCTAAGTCACTGATGAAGATGTTGAACAGTGTGGGCCTGAGGACCGAGCCCTGGGGGACCCCACTGTTCACATCCCTCCAGATCAAAAATGACCCATCCACCACCACTCTCTGGGTGCAGCCCTCCAGCCAATTTGTGACCCACCTGTGTAGGCATTGACACCCCAGTTGCCTAATTTTTTTATGAGAATGGGGTGAGAGACAGCGTTGAAGGCCTTCCTAAAGTCCAGGAAGACTACGTCCACCGCAACACCTGCATCCAAGGATTTTGTGGCCTGGTCATAGATGGCAATCTGGTCTGACAGGACTTGCCTCTAATGAATCTATGTTGGTTGCCCCTAAGCATAATCTCCCCTGCTGGTCCCTCGCAGATGTGCTCCTGGATAATTTTCACAAAGAGCTTTCCCAGGACCAAGGTAAGACTAACGGGCCTATAGTTTCCTGGGTCATCCTTCCTTCCTTTTTTGAAAATGGGGACCACATCGGCCCTTTTCCAGTCTCTGGCACCTCACCAGAGCACCACGAGTGCTCGTAAAGCCGTGCCAGGAATCCCGCAATGACCTTTGCCAATTTCCTCAGCACCCTGGTGTGGAGATCATCTGGATCTGCTGACTTGAACACATCCAGTCCCACCAGACGCTCCCTGGCCAGGTCCTCATTGACCCTGGGCCTGGCTGCGCCTCCCCTAGGTCCATCCGGGATCCCAGTGCAGGGTGGGGGGGATGTCCTGGTTCCTGCTCAGAAAAACGGAGGGAAAGAATTTGTTAAAGAGGTTAGCTTTCTCATCTGGTGTGACCACCAGATTTCCAAACGTGTCCTGCAGAGGCCCCATGTTACCTGGTACCTTCTTTTTACTCCCTATGTATTTAAAAAAGGACTTCTTGTTATCTTTGATCCTGGTCACTAGTCCCAGTTCTGACTCCGCCTTAGCCTTCCTAACAGCCCCCCCTACAATCTTGACCAATGAAGGTATAATCCTTGTTCCTGAATGCCTTTGGTGAGCCATTGGGGCTTTTGAGCACTCTTGCCTCCTTTGATCCACTTCGGGACTGTTAACCATTTGGCCTTGGAGGATCGTCTCCTTAAGGAATGACCACTCTTCTTGGACTCCCAACTCCCCTCCCCAACCCCAGTGCCTCCCTGACTAATATCCTTATTGAAATCAGCCCTCCTGAAGTCCAGGGCTGCTGCCTTGCTGTAGGCCTTTGACACCCTGCACCAGATAGTGAATTCCAGTAGGCGATGATCACTATCGCCCAGGTGGTTGAGAACCCAGAGTCCCCGCACCAGGTTGTCGCCTGTGGCCAGGACCAGGTCCAACAAGGCATTTCCCCTGGTGGGACTGTGCACCTCCTGGGTTAGGTGGAGGTCCTGTAACTTGGCTAGGAACCTACGTGAGCGGTCAGACCTAGCTGACTGCTCCTCCCAGCAGATGTCTGGGTACTTTAGGTCACCCATGTTGACCACGTCCTTTGACTTAACTGCCTCCACGAGCTGACCTGAGAATTCCCAGTCCAGCTCTTCCCCCTGGTTGGGTGGTCTGTAGTAGACCCCCACCATTAAGTCCCTTTCCCCCTGACCCAGAGCACTTCAGTCTGCCCCTCCTCTGACCCAATGCTGTTTGTTGAGGACATGCATTGCTCTTCGACATAGAGCGCCACACCCCAGCATTTCCTCCCCATTCTATCCCGCCTGTACAACCTATAGCCCTTGATGTTTACCACCCAATCATGCGCTGAATCCCACGAAGTTTCAGTGAGCCCCACTATGTTTGGGTTTCTGTTAGCTAGCAGGAGGGTAAGTTCCTCATAGAATCCATCATCAAAAAAAGGGCCCAACCCCCTGAGAGATGGATGAAAGAACAGCAGATAGGGCAGGTCTTGGGTAAAACAGAGCGGATGGCTGTGGCCATCCTTTAATAGTAAGATACAAAAGGTCCTGTTGGTAGGTTCTTAACACATTTTCAGGGTCTCAGCCCATACCACACAAACATGAATGACACATGCCCCCGGCAGCTGATGGGGCACGGCAGCATTGGTAGCAGCAGGAACGCGGCAGTGACGGTAAGCAGGGGAGCTCCTGCAGACACCGCTGGCACTATCTGTGGGGGGCAGGGGGGTTTGGCAACCACCCACAGATGCCGCCAGCCTGTCTGCAGTGTGGGGGGAGGTTGGCACCCACCCAGATGCTGCCAGCAGTGTTGGTGGCACCTTTCTGTAGGTGATGCACTGCCACGGTCAGGGGTGCATGTGCATCCGCATACACTCCCTACGCATTGACCCTGGACACAAGGCTGCAAGGCAGAGGTAGAGATTTGTAAGGTCATTTGAGCAGCTCCTAAGACACACTCTCAACTGGCAACCATCGGTGGTGTACATGGGATGCCTTGCACACTGAAGAAAAGGACTAAGGGTTGTTTGTAAGTTTCTGGCTTTATGACAGCTTGTCCATACATTGCATACTTTCACAACTCTAAGTAGAATCCCACATATCAATCAATACGCCTGTTTGCAGATTTGCATGCAATAAATTTGTCCGATTTATGTACACCTTCAGGAGCTTCCATGTATTTATTAGGGTGGCTCCATGAGGCCAGACAGCTGTTTACTCACACTGAGGTAGCTTTAGAGAGACAGAGAGGGCTATTTTTCATGAGATCAGGCTACTAAAGACATTTGCACTTCTACAGACAGTCCTACCATTGGAACATGTCCCTCATCTTTGTGATAAAATACTATTTGCAAATGGAATCCTTCTGACAGCAGGGATATGCACTTCTACATGCTCCTTGGGACAATTATAGTCTGATTTGTAAAGCAACATGGTTACCTCTATACCACTACAGAATAATTTTCTCTCCATGGCTAGAATAATGAGGTAAGTCAAAATACCTCAAACAGGTAGACATAGGTCACAAAGTACTAACAGCCTTGTCTATCCTGGGCTCTCAGGATATTCTCTAAGTATCCTAAATTCTGCCTCCCTGAAACATACCCAACACGGATTATTTTTGTCAGCTTCAGCAAATACTTTGGCTTCATCCCAAGTATTTCCCCCCTTTTTTGAATAATGATGGAGCTGGTGAATTGTTCAACTCTTGAATCTCATGTTTTGTGAAAAAATCTGTTCCACCTAATATTTTTGCAAAAGCAAATGCCTCAGATATACCTTTGGTGGATTTTCATCTTTTACAAGCATATATTAAATTAGAAATAACATTTAATTTTATTTGATGGGGTTTAACTGGGTTTTATCTTACAGATTTTGATGACTAACTCTAAGCACATATATACAGCTACCATCCTACCAATTTATGACATTATTTCTGCTGGCCTGAGTGCTGACTTGTATTGTTATGCCTCTGGTTGGGGAAGCGTGTGACTGAGGGTGCCTAAAAGGCATGATGCAGCAAAGGAGCCTACAGCCAGGGAGTTTAGAGTAAGGCAAGCATCTGGATCATCTAGACCCAGCACTCTTT